TCTTCGGTGATAGTGTTAGGAGGGTGAGCATCACAGAATGCCAGGTCATTAGAACGAAGTGTTCTTGTGTTAAGGGAGGCCTTGAGTAGAGGCCCAAAGTCCATCTGCTATCTTAATACTTAACATATAAATATATGTACATTGGCCTCTATCCCTTTCATTATGAATTAATATATTTCCATATACACATGCTGTGTTAGTCTAGGTAGACTAGAGAAACAAATCCACAGAAACTCATATGTATATGAGAGTTTGATATAAAAGGTAAGTGTACATTTTAACCCAGTCCAGTCTAAGCCCATTAGTCCGACATTAGCCCATATGTCCGGCATCGATCTACAAAGTCCTCCTCAAACTCGCAAAACATACGCAATAATGCCGAATGCAAGAGGAAAGCCAAATCAATGAGCATGTAAGCATCTCAGTGCTGGCTGGGGTGCCCACACAGCTTCTCCAGCACCCAGGGCTGCATCAGAGTAGGTCCATGTGGTTTCTCCTCAAGGATGTCTCACAGGAAGTGAGCCTTGACAGCTGAGGCAGAGAAACTAGCTAAGGCAGCCGCACACTGGTCTGACCATCAGAGAATGAGACCTGAGAACCAGAAAGGTGAGGCTCACCAAGCCATTGATCTCTCTACCCTTCAATTAATCCCACATGTGTTTATCCGCCAGGTTGGCACAATAAACCTTAACTATCTCACGTGTCTATAGCTATAGCTCTATAAATAGCATTTGCCTCCTAGCTCTTTCCTCCATTTCCTTTCACCTGTCTTCTATCCCACTATCATGCTCTGAGGCTGTAAATTTCAGGGGTTGTTGGTTTTCCCTGCCTACTTTGTGGCTAGCAGACCAATGCTTAACCCATTGTGCCACAAGAGCTACACCTATTTGGAACATTTTTTGTTTGTTTTTATGTTTTCCTTGGGCTCTCCCTTACCTTGGACTCAATTCAATTTTAAGAACTAGGCCTCCCAATTCATTTATGTTTAAAATGGCCGAGTATCCCACCCCACCCCCCACCCCAAAAAAAACAAACTCTGCCATTAAATCTATTCTGATTCCTGGCAACGCTATAGGACAAAGTAGAACTGCCCCTTTGAGGTTCTGAGGCTGTAAGTCTTAACCTGAACAGAAAGCTCACTTTTCTCCCTGGAGTGGCCCTGGGTTTGAGTTTCCCACCTTGCAGTTAGCAGTACAATAGATAACCCATTTCACCTCCTACTCCTACTCACTGCCGTCGACTTGATTTCAACTCATAGCAACCTGTAGGACAAAGTGGATACTGCCCCTGAGGGTTTCTAAGACTATACGTTTTTATGGGAGCAGACAGCTTTATCTTTCTCCCATGCCTAGCTGGGGTTTTGAAATGCTAACTTTGTAGTTAGCAGCGCAATGTGTAACCCCCCCACAGTAACTCAAAAAACTCACTACCATCACACTGATGCTGACTCTAGTCACTCTCCAGAGCAAAATGTACCTGCCTTTGTGAGTGTCTCCAACTGAGAACTCTTTACAGGAGTAGAAAGCCCTGTCTTTTTCCCTTAGAGCGACTGGTGATTTTGAACTGCTGACCTTGCCATTAGCAGCCCAACATACTATAACCAGGACTACACTACACCACCAGGCTCCTAAACTGGCCCAGATACTTTAACACAATAGAATTAATTCCCACCCATCCCTGCTCCCCATTTACTATTCTTTAGGCAATCATTTTGGGATGTTATTCTTTATAACATAACTAAGGAGTAAACACCTATAAAATCCCAAGACTGAAGGCTTGGACTAGATCTCTGAAAAACTTGTTTTGCTTTCAAAATCACGTTTATTCTTTAAATGAAACACATTCTGTAATAACTAACTTAAGTTACTTGGAACTATTTTTATTTCAAGATTGTCATAAGCACAAAAACATGTCAAAATAAATTAATTTCATTATTTTTTTATAATGTCAAAACAATTTCATTCATAAGCAGTGTGTCATAAAATTAAGAGGATTCCCTAAAAGAATATTAGGTAATTTACTAATACCATCTGGAGGTAAACATTATGTTTTCATAAATGTTTTTGCTGACATCCTTATTATACTATTCATAATAAGTAATTTTCCTACAGTGTATTCTTCAAATGAACTACCTGATTAAGAGTCAAGAGAAGCAGTTTATTTGCAGCTGAGGCTCAGAATAATCTCATGAAGGAAACACTGAAACCCACATCAAATACTCTCAAGATTAATTCTCCAGATGTAATTTCAGAAATTCAAAAGATGTCATTTCATGCACTTTCCTAGATGACCTTCAGCAAATTTTGTCCAAACAGACACCATTTGGATGAAGATCACATAGTCACTAGCCTCTGAAGTCAGTTCAAATAACAGGCATATAAAGTCACTGTGTTCTCCCTTATAGTCTGTTACTATGATTAGCAACAACATAACATTCTGCAAAAAATTCTCAAAAGAAAACAAAGCAACATACACAAGTAGCTACATAATTCCAAGCTGTTTTGGTTAGTTTAATTTATCTTAAGATTACCAAAGAGTTCCCTTGGATCTAGTCTGAGAATTACTTGCCTCAAAAACGGCCACCAATGTTCTAAGTGCATCTTAGCAATGGCAGGCCAACGTGAGCAGAGAGCTGGCCTGATCTTTAGAGGTGGTATTCCTTTATTATCAAGCATTCCTCTTTTACCATGCTGCAATACAGTCTGGGAATTGCAAGTTCATGAAACTCAAAAATAAACTAATTTCAACAACAACAACAAACAAACAATTTGGGAACTGCTGCTTCTTTCTCCAGCAATATTCTTGCAGAATCTGGTGATTCTGCTTAAACACACACACACACACACACACACACACACAATCAGATGACAACACTGAAATAGTGTGTTCATTTTCTCACATTTTTAGTCAAAAGACTGAGATTCCCAGTAGCACCCTTTTCTAATGTGTGGATAAGCTAAACATGATCCTGAACGCCTTTAAAATAAAATGATCAAAACCCCAGAGCTATCAGGATCATCAATGAGAAACTGGAACAAACTGAAGGGCACGATTGCAGGCCATACATAGTCTACCAAGTATAAGAAAGGAAGCACACACTGAGGAAGACAAATAGATGACTGGGACATGTTGACAAATACATCACTTATGCACATCAAAAGACTTCATCAAAAGAATAATTCAAGAGCCAACAGATTGAGAAAAATTTTTTCTAGAGGGACATTGGACAAGGGTCTAGATACCAAAATATACAGACTTCTACAACAGCTCGATAGGAAAATAACAAAGGACACAATTAAGAAGTGGGCAAAAGACATGAACAGATAGTTCATCAAAATTAAAATACAAATGGCTAACAAACATTTGAAGAAACACTTATGATCATTAGCCATCCAAGAGACACAAAGCCGCAATGAGATATCACCTTACACCCACAATGGGAGTCCAACACAAAAAACAAAACAAATGCTGGAGAGGTAGTGACGAGATTGAAACTCATACAGTGTTGGTGGACTTAGAAATATTTACAACCACTATGGAAAACAATATGGCAGTACTTAAAGCAACTGGGAATTGAAATCCCACATGATCCATCTATATCACTATTAAGCATATGCCCCAAAGAAATAAGAGAGACAACACAAGTGCATGTATGCTCTCCTGGGTTTATAGCAACACAGTTCACATTAGCAAGAGACTGGAAGCATCCCAATGGATAAAGAAACTGTGGTATATACACACAGTGGAATACTACACGTCCCCCCAAAACAGTGATGAAATCATGAAACACCACATGGTATGGGAGTACCTAGAAACAATTATACTGAGTGAGGTAAGTCAATAAGTAGAACAAATATTGTATGAGTCCACTACCATAATGAGAAACACCAATCAAACAAATCATAGAGGCCAATTCACATACAAAGCGGTAGAAAGTCTGCCTACTGGCCATGAACTATACATTACCCCTCTTAGAAACACTTCATAACAGCTACCCCAAAAGAGACGCATTGGCTGGGGTCACTCCTTCAAGAAGGGGGGAAAGGGAGAAGATCACCCACTTGATGCCATACAACATTGAGACAAGGTTGTGACAAATCACAGGGTTTAGACTCCAAACTTCAGACCTTTGATGTAACAGGTGTCCATTCATTCCCTTCCTATCTGTCTGGATTAGGGACATAGTTTTTCCTGAGAGACTCAGGGGAGTATTGATTATTATGCTATGTTTCTGAAAGTCTGCCATTCGGAAGACAAATTAGGTAATCCAGGTGAGACACACTTGGATGAAGGCCCAAGAGAGTGCCCTCAAGAGTGGGTAGAGGTTCAAACCTCGCAAAGCGGTTTGAGCTAGAGGATCAGGAAGAGGCCCAGAATTGAACTGACTGTGTGAGCCTGCTGGGATGGCAGTGAGTGAGATAGACAGCCTGTAAAAGTGGGAGGGAACCCTTGACTTCTTCATAGCAGTTCTGTAAGATGCCTGGGAGGAGGATGCTATAAAAGCCTTAGCGCTGACTTCCCTGAATTTGGGTCTATTTTACCATTATTTCTCAGGGAGAATCCTTATTTAATCTACTTTACATATCTATACCCTACTTGGGGTGTGCTTTTGAATTATAAGCTACATATTGAGAAGGGTATGGAAGGAAAAGTCTGCTTAGTAGAATCATATGATGGTGTGGGTATTTCTGTGGCCAAATCAGTTCAAGAAACCAGAATTATAGTACTTTTGAGAACAATGTTTAGCTAGTACTGTCTGGTCCAAATGAAAGGCCACCTTTTCCAAATGCCTTCCAAGTGGAAAGCATCTTCCCTACTGAACATCACAGCACTTCATTTGGAATCCTTTCCTACTTTTACACTTCCTACTTTCAGAGCTGTATTTTGCCGCAGGCTCTGGGAGAAAGCCCAAACATGCCTAACTGCATGCCATGATCCATCCTCCTCCACGCTTCTTGTAAGGGCTGGTGCTCAAGAAGAGTGACTTGAGTGAGCAAGGGTTGCTTGCCTCCAGCCTGCTTGAATCTGGAGTGGTTCTGGGCATTCCTACAGTGCTTTGCAAGATCAGCTTTGAAATGGTCTGAGGCCTTACTTGATACTGTCTATAGAACAAGGTTATAGAAATTTCACACAGTTATTTGTGCCTGGATCTTTTGTACTAGACATCTACAGATCTGTACTCTCCAATGTATAGCAACTTGCTATATATAATTAAACATTTAAGTTCAGTTTCCACTTGTGTTAGATGTATTCCAAGAGCTCAGTAACCCTGAGGGCACAAAGGTTAAGCATTTGGCTGCTAACCAAAAGGTTGGTGGTTTGAACCCACCCAATCGTTGTGTGGGGAAAATGCTAGGTGATCGGCTTCTGTAAAGATTAAGTGAAGGAACCTGTATGGGACAGTTCTGCTCTGTCACACGCATGGACTCATAGATATACGCAGCGGGAGCCAGCAACAATATACCCAGCACCTTTCCTCTAACACACTCTTCAAGCAGATGCTTCTGGATTTCCTTTATATCTCCCAGAGGAATTGGCGCGTGGGCGCTGATGCAAAAATGTTGATCCTCTGACGACTTCTCTTGCTGTGAATAATCGACTGCATTTGTTTCCGCCTTAAGGTCTTGTGTCTTCCACCAATATTCATAAGCAGGCAGACTACCTTGTTAGCTTGCAAGAAGGCGCTCACACCCGTCACATTTCTTGACAGCCATGTCCTTTCAGGCTAAAGTGTATCTCCCTGAGGCAACCTATGACTTGGATCTGCCCTGTGTTTCAGCAGCAACATCGCAGAAAGCTAGAACTAGAAGTTACCTGGCAAGCCATCCATTCAGTGACTGCCAGTCCCTTCTATGGAATCCAAATGGTGGTAAGTATGCAGAAAGTCTGGTATGGTAAGTTATGTTTTTTCATATACTAATTTTGTCATGACAATATATGCTTTTTCATATATTAATTTTCCATGAGTGTACCAGGACCCCAATAAAGTTTTTAAAACTCCGATTTATTCTGACCTTCCCATTTATAAGTCAGGTGAAATGAGTCCCAGAAAGATTAGTTACCTTCAGCCATGAGACTGTTTCATGTTTAATGGGTAAAAAGTCTAGATTAAAGCCAGTCCACCTTATTTGTGGATAAATGGTTCCCTATATACCTGAATTCATGGAGCTGGACCCTGATTTTTTAGAATCTGATATTTAACTATAGGATCTGTGTATAGTTGCCTTTGTGGTTTGGGCTAGACCAGCAGTTCTCAACTTGTGGGTCGCCACCCCTTTGGGACCCTTTCACAGGGGTCGCCTAATACATCCTGCATATCAGATATTTACATACCAATTTATAACAGTAGCAAAATTACAGTCATGATGTAGCAACAAAATGATTTTTTGGTTGGGGGTCACCACAACATGAGGAACTGTATGAAAGGGTCGCGCGGCATTAGGAAGGTTGAGAACACTGGGGTAGATCATTGGCCCTTTTCCCTGAATGTCTCTGTGTGATATGTTGGGCTGAAAAGAACAAGGGCTTCCACTAAGTACTTGATCACAGAAAGAATGGTGAAGAGAAGTTTGAATCAGAACTATGGTCCTTAGTCACTTTTCATGCCTGGAACTGAACTCACCCCCACGGCTCACTTTACAGCCAAACGATAGGTCTATAACAAGAGCACTAGGGAAGTACACGTTTCTTAGAATAATCCACCACTTAACATTCAAGAGGGCAGTGTTTGCCCACGGATGAAATTCAGAAAACAGGAAGAGCTAGGAAAGGAAGAACGGAAATGCACAGGGAGGAAGTGGGATGAATGATGCTGCATTGTTGGAATTGTAATTAATGACATAAAACAAAGTGTGTGTGAATTGTTGAACAGAAAATAAATTTGATCCAGAAACATACCCCTAATTCACAATAAAATGTTTCCTCTTTTTTTCTTCTTTTTAAAAAAATTTTTCTTTAAAAAGTGTCGCTTGGTTTTAAAAGTAGACATCTGATTTTTTTTTAATTTCTTTCTTTTACAGTAAGAACTGTGATCTGCCCAAGAAACCAAAGTTGGCCAATGGTTATCATGGGTGAAGGAGGAACGTTTTTGCTTAGAGGGCATTGCGTTGATGTTAATGGTGGTGGAGTAATTTGGAAAAGGATAGCAATAATGGTTGCACAGCAAAAAGAGTGTAATCAATGCATTGAACTATACATGTAGAAGTTGCTGAAATGAAGAATGCTTTCTTCTGTATATTTTTGCCATAATTTAAAAAACCATTACATGAATAAAGTGAGTACAAGGAAGAAGAAAATGTACTAAAATTTTACTGAAGACTAAGAATGTATGAGTGGTTAGGTAAGTGGGACCCGGGATAAGTAACCCTTAAGAAATGGGGACTAAACTGATGGTTTTTTAAAAGTCCTTTTCTTTCTTTTAACATAGAAGTAATCATCTGTTCTATGTCATGATTCCTGCTAGACTTGTGACTATGCATTTTGTTGTTGCTGTTTGTTTTGGTGTTTATCCATACAAGTAGTCCAGGATAGGCCAAGGGCTCCTGGAGGGCATGGGGGTGGGGGGTGGGGGGAGCCAATAATGACTGGTACAAGAGAATAGTAAGTACCCTAAAATTATCGGCAAGGAGAGGGTAGCTTCTCTTGACATATTTGAACAATTGAATGATATCTGAAAGTAATTACTAAAATATGAATGATGGGAAAGCATAACTGGGGGTAAGAGGAAAACAAATTAATATATATAATATCAATGTATTTACATATGTATATTGATATACATGCATAAGTACCAATGAATGAGAAGGACTTTGGGCTTCTACTTAAATCTTTCCTCAGTACAAGAACAGTTTGTTCTAATAATTTGGTATTGTATAGTACTCACCTTCCTAACCCTAACCCTAATCCCGAAGACAAAAAGGGTGCATAAGCAAATGTGATTCAAAAAAAATAAAAAGCTGATGGTACCCAGCTATCAAAAGATCTAGCGTCTTGGATCTTGAAGGCTTGTAATAAAAGGAGTCATCTAGCAGGGAAGCAACAAAGAAGTTCACCAGCCTGAATGATCATGAGGTGTCAATGGGAAGAGGTATCAGAAGTTCAAAACATGCAACCAACTCTATGTGAAGGGTCATGGATACAATAGAGACCCCAAACCCATCTGCAAGTTCATTAGACAGTCCCTCTCAGAAAGGCCACACAGAAAGGATGATAAATCCAGGGTGTAGTAGGCAATGATGAACACATAATTATTTGCTAGTTTTTAAATATGTCCTCCCCTGACTATTAAGGCTGTTATTTGTTTTATCTCATTAATCATGTCAGATTTGAGTGAATTCATTTGTATATTTAGGATTGTTTGGTACATGAAAGTCAAGATAGGTAACTGCAGAAACAGTAACAGCAGTAGTGGTTCCCTGGGGGTACAGGAAGAGAAGGGGGAGGGGGAGAATGGGAAGCTGAGAGTGTTGATGAATGTACAATTCCACTCAATAGGATTGAACAACAGCAATCTATGTGAATGGATATATTGGATTGTGTAAGATATGGCAATAAAACTATTATTAAAAAGAGAGACAATTCCCATTACTCTTCCTGAGGGGTTTATCTGCCCTGGATTCTGTGTGTCAAGAGCTCTTATCTGTACCAGTGCACATGCTCCAGTCTAGCCGGATTTGTAAAGTAGAACTGGGGTCATGATAGTGGATGGTGGGGAGGGGAGCATTAAAGAACTAGAGGAATATTGTGTGTCCCTTCGGTGCTATGCTGCACCCTGGCTGACTCATTCCTTCCTTGTGACTCTTCTGTGAGGGAATGTCCAATTGTCTACAGATGGGCTTTGGGTCTCCAGTATGACCCCCATCATTTGCACTGATATGTTTGTTTGTTTTGTGTCTTCTGATGCCTGATACCTGATCCTGTCAACACCTCATTATCACACAGGCTGGTGTGCTTCTTCCATGTGGGCTTTGTTGTTTCCCTGCTAGATGACTTCTTGTTTAACCTCAAGCCTTTAAGACCCAAGATGCTAAATCTTTTAATAGCCGGGCACCATCAGCTTTCTTCAGCACATTTGCTTGTGCACCCATTTTAACTTCAGCCATCATGTCGGGAAAGTGAACATCACAGAATGTCAAGTTATTAGAACAAAGTGTTCTTGCGTTGAGGGAGTACTTGAGTAGAGACCCAATTCCCATCTGCTACCGTAATACTTTTAATATATGTACATAGACCTATATCCCTTTCATTATATGTTAATATATTACATCTGTGCATGCCTATAGATGAGGGGAGAAGGGGGAGAAATGGAGAACTGACTACAATGACCAATGTATAGCACCCACCCCACCCCACCCCACAGGGGGATGAATAAGAGAAACATGGGCGGAGGGAGACAGTGGATATGAAATAATCATAATTCATAAGATATGAAAGTAATCATAATTTATAATTTATCAGGGGTCCATGCGGGTGGGATGGTGGGGGAGGGAGGGAAAAAAGAGGAGCTATACCAAGGGCTCAAGCAGAAAGAAAATGTTTTTAAAATGATGATGACAACATATGTACAAATGTGTTTGGTACAATTGATGTACAGATAGTTATAAGATATCTATAAGACCTGTAAGAGGATTTGTTAATTAAAAAAAAGAGAGAGAGAGAAACAGGAAAAAAGGAAAGAAAATGTTTTAAAACTGATTGTGGTAATGATTGTACAACTCTTCTTGATCTGACTGAATTATTGAATTATATGATATATGAATGAAGTGCCAATAAAACTGTTTTACAAAATAAAAGAATTGTGATCTACTCTTTGAGCCTAAGTCTTCACCTTAATTAATTTTTAATTCTCAGAGCCTTACTTTGCTCCCTTTCTAGAATCCAGAAATTTCTGGTTCTTAGAATGAGACTGGCAGGTAGAGGTTCCAGGTGAAAACTGAGCTGGGAGTGGGAGTTGGAGATTCCTTCCTTGTGTGCCTGTCTGACTGATGTCCTCTGACACGAGGCTTGGGCCTGGCCTGATAAGGAGCCTGGCTGTGGACCAGGAACTAGGTCCTTCTGACATCTCAAGAAAAGCAAGGGATATTTAACACATAATATTACATTTGTGATTTAAGTCAGCTTCTACTTGTTTCTATGTC